CAGGATGAACAAAGCTTCCAGTGTTCTTTCCCTCCTCACCTGCTTACCCAACTTCAGCCAGACAGAGCTCAGGTGCGTGTGAGAGCATGAGCGTGGAAATGAAAATAACCTCAGGCCAGAATGAAATGAGAGATCAGGCCAGGTTTTAGCAGAGGTCACTTTCGTTTTTAAGAACAACTAACTTTTTATTGGCAACTCAACATGGGCAGGCTGAAAACCAAGGTTTTCACATCCAGGTTGTGTTTCCAAGTGTCCTAATAATTGCAAGAATTTTAAAATTTTGCCTCCACATCCCCAGTCCCACCCACCTCCACTCACACTCGCTCACATACTCCCCCACGAAAAGACCTACCAGTCATGCCTCTGCTGGCCCTGATCTCAGCAGGCATGGAACTAAAAAGTGTAAACATGTGTTGGGTTCACTTCATTGTGGCCCTTCAAATACCCAGGGGATGAAGCTTAAAACAAACGACAGGAGCCAGAGTACATTTTGTGATAACTTTTTTTTCTTCTCTTTAGAAAAAAAAAACAAAAAAAAAAAGTACAAAAAAAAAAAAAAAAGCTAAGAGCCAACATGAAAGTGTCAAGAAAACATTCTGATAGGTCCAGACAAGGGAGTTCCTTCTCTGAAAGGAGTTACACGTTAGTTATTACCATGCTAGAAAAATGAGATGCAGTTAAAATTCTAGAACAATTAAAAGCCACAAAGCCAAGCTGTTGCTCTGCGGCTCTAGGTTGTAGATGCTCCAATAACCTTTCTGTAAAATAATACTGTGCAAACTGTAAAATATTCATTTTCATAGAAAGTCCATACAATATGATATACAAAACTGTTGAGTTGACAGGGGAGACTGGTACTGGTTGCTTTTTGGAAAGAGGTCTGCAGTGTTACCTCCCAGTGCAAGGACATGATTCCAGAAAGATCTTGAGTTTTTTTTAGATGGGAGAAGACTTTATCTAGGAGAGAACCATATAACCCCAATAGCCCTCAAATCCAGGAGTCTGCCACTTTTTTATGTAAGTAAGTGACTTCACTAATATAGTACTTTAACTTAGAATACAAAACAGGTTAAGAGACAAGAACACAAAGTTCTTTGGGAAAGGAATGTTTCTTTCTGCCCAATTGATTTTGAGATTTACCATTAACCAACATTGCCCTCCCTGCAACTCAAAAGTTAATTTTCATTAAAATTTAAAAGCTCTGGAAGAGGCAGCAAGTGCAGTAATAAAGGGGTAAGGTGAATTGTTACATTAATTTTATTTCTGTGCCTATAAAACTGAGAAAAGAAGGTCTGTGTACAAATATCACAAAACAACATCAATCATTGAATCAATGTGGTTCTTCAATGCGCACTGGAACAAGAAGAAAGTTTTGTTGGTGTAAAATTCTGGCATAAATATATTAAAGCTGACAAAAAAAATCAGGGCAAGCTACATCACTTCCTCATACAAAAAAATGTACAAAACATTAGCTTCTAACTAGATAAACATAATACTTGTCTTCACAGTTTGACATCAAGTAACTGTGTGTCTTGAAGTATCGAATTGGAGGGTGATAAAAAAAAAACAGCTTGTGACACATCAGCTGTCTCAGGTGACTTCGGTCATGGAGGCAGAGTGATTCTGTAAAGACAAGCAGGTGTAATCTCAGAGTCGGGCTGATTGACTCGTGCACACTCACTCTTCCCTGGCTGTGCCCTTGCTCTCTTGTCTCCTGACTTCATACAGGCTGTTCCCTCTCCCTGAAATGCTTTTCCAGGGCCTCACAAATTATCACTGTTTCTATTAAATCTTCCCTGATTTTTCAACCAAAAATAAAATAATTTCTGCACCTAAACTTGGTCTCTATAAAGTTGTCTTGTATCATACTTACTCAATCATATTTTAATAGAAACATTTAAGGATCTCAAAGTAACTTCAGCTGCATTCCACATTTTTTTTTAATTTTTTTTTCAACGTTTATTTATTTTGGGGACAGAGAGAGACAGAGCATGAACGGGGGAGGGGCAGAGAGAGAGGGAGACACAGAATCGAAAACAGGCTCCAGGCTCTGAGCCATCAGCCCAGAGCCCGACGCGGGGCTCGAACTCACGGAGCGTGAGATCGTGACCTGGCTGAAGTCGGACGCTTAACCGACTGCGCCACCCAGGCGCCCCTGCATTCCACATTTTTAATGTGGTGTTTTAATATCAAACGGTTCTGAGTTTTGAAAATTTTCTGTATGATTTATTCTTTGAGTCATGAGCTATAAAGAAATGAGTTTAATATTTTCAAACGTACAGGGTTGTTTTAGGTATAGATATCTATTTTTTTCCTAAAGAATGTAACCTGTGTGATATTGATCCTTTACAATTTCTTGAGACTTTTATGTGATTTATTTTCATAATGTTTCATATGTTTTGAGGATTGTATGTAATGCACATTAGATCTTACTAATCATCTATATTTTCACTATATTTTATTTGCTTATTAGAGAGAAATGTGTTATAATCCATATTATGATTGCAGCTTTGTCCCCTTTTCCTCGTAATTCTATCGTTTTGAGCATTTATGGCTTGTTTATATAACCCCTACCTCTTGTTTACATAACTTCTATATACAGGTCCCAACATTTCCTCTTTTGTTTGAGCTTAAACCCCCCAGTCCATGGGGTTGGGAAATGACTTAGGAAACTGTGGCTTTAGATCTGATTATTATTGGTTTCTTGATTCCTGTTTATGTTTAAAATACTAGAGATTCATATATTCTTGAGAGCTCTACTACAAATTTTAGAAACTAAGTATTTTGTTTTTCAATGTACTTTTTATCTGTCATGTTTGTGAAAACTAGAGCTTGATGCATTTCTTGCCATAATGTGAAAAATGACTTTTCTTTATGTCTTCACTTTTATAATATGCTTCCTTTTTGAAAAAAAAGAATGTTGGGTCAATGCTTTGTTAATTTACATGCTTATAAGATCCCATTTCAGAGTAAGCAGTAAAGATAAAGTAATTCAATAGGCTAGGATAACTAAATGGGTGACTTTGGGCAGACTTCTTTAACTTTCCAAGTCTTGTCTTCTATTTATGATATGATGTCTACAATATCACTAGTTTCAAATCAAGGGGGCCCTTAGAATTCCTCTGGGAATATTTTCTGAACTATAAATATTCTTTTACCTCATGATTGTTGGATTAGAACCTCCTGGGGTAAGGTTCTAGGCACCTGGGTCTCAGCACCCATTAGATTCTTTTTCTGCTAAAGAAAAAAAGGTCTCCCCTTCTTCCCAAATCTGGAGACATTGAGAGACTTTACACCACACCCAGAGTGAGTTCATACAATCCTTTCATTTCTAACTTCCTTTTGTTAATATAAACTGTGTTTGACAAGTGCACAGTTGCTCAACACCAAGGGCGTGGAGAAGCAGAGCACAGCTCCAAGCTGGTCTCCTTAGGGTCACAATAACTCTGTGGGATCCTAGAACAGGGTGTCTATGAGATTACAAGAACTCTACAGGACCACAAAATTATGCTTTGGAAACCTGACCATTTTTGTTTTGTTTGGATTCTATAATTACTTACTTTTTGGTTTTTATTTAGTACTTGGGAAAGATTTTAGAAAATGAACCCTGTCTTAATCAACTATGCTAAAGGAATCACGGAAGACAAATATTCAAATTTGAGTTGATTTTCAGAAAGGAATAAAAAGCACTGTAACTCCATGTGGTAAAAGGGAAAGGTGTCTCAGGAGGAAGGAAAGGAGGGTGACCAGGTCCCCTCTCCAGCCAGACAGTCTTCTCCTTGAGGTCTTTTTTTTTTTTTTTTTTT